TTTTTAATTTTTTAATTTTTTAATTTTTTAATTTTTTAATTTTTTAATTTTTTTTGGGGTTGCCCTGGGGGGAAGGGGGGAAAGTTGTGTTGCTATTGTTGTTGGCCTTGTTTATGGTGGTCGCGGTTTTTTTTTTTGGTCTTATTGGTTGTTTTGTCTTTTGGTGTGGTAGTCAGCGTCCAATTTTACCACCTTTAAGGCTTGAGAGGCTAAAAAGGTTCGTATTGCCCATCGCCATCTGCGTGTATTTCACTGTCTGTCTTGCACCTGGATGATCCCAACGCTCCCGCCAAATTGTAATGTTCTCCCTTAGAAACCGCTTATTTTCGAGATCTCAAATTCCTTGAGATGAATATACCTGTCAATATATATATATAATATTTATATTTGCCCTGTGTTTATCCATAGAGTTACCATGTCATGTGTTTGTAGGGAGTGAATGAGTGAGTGAGTAAGGGTGGGAGGGACAGAAGGAGGCAAAAAAGTAAAGTGTAGACAATGTTATGACATTTATGAATTCTATAATGTGTCGCAGAAATTAACGAAAGCAGGCCATTAAATCTTTCAAGTGGAGAATCAATAAATTATATCTTACTGTATCTATCTCATCTGGTTGTACATACCCGATCTCACCATGTCTCATCTGGTAGCATGCTACCTCATCTGATTTCATCTGGTGGTAGGCCTATCTTATACGATCTTATCTGGTGATAGGCCTATCTATCTAACTTCGTCTCGGGGTTGGCTTATCTTATCTTATCTCATCTAGTCGTATCTATCTTATCTGATCTCGCGTGTCTAATTTTATTTGTATCTTGACTTACAATATTTCATAACCTTTTCTCATCTTGTCTTATCATAATCCTTCTTTAGCACAACATAATATCTAGTTATACGTAGCTCTCTATCAGTACTATCACTGTGCATCGTGCTGTACTTCACACTCCCACAGCCCTAATGCGGCACCCATTCTTGAGACGTTAACGGAAACGGCCCAAGAATGTGACGAGAAACAGCTGGTGGAAGCGCTCCCTCTGTGTCTGTTCATCATTCACAGACCACTGTTTCTTAACTGCTGGGATTACTCCAGGAATGGGAACAAGGTTTGTACATGAAGTACAGGAATAAGTAAACCTTCATACTGTGGGCTGTTAGCTTCGCCCCTTTTTGATCTCTCCGATTCAAACTTAGCTATTTTTCAATATCCCATTTCTGTAGAGTTCAAAGAAATCCACAACAATGGTTAGAATCGTGTGGTGAACTGAGCTCCCTTTTCCCTGTAGTACAATGCATCACTTTTAGTTTAGATCCTTCGTGTTTTGTTTTACGGGACTTGCAACTGCATAAAGTCATATGAGCGCTGTTTGTTTATTTGGTGTTCGTCGAATCGACATAATGCTCCTTTCATTTAAATTTGTAGCTCTATAGAGTTTTGGTTAAACAATAATTGTTCAACTTCGCCTCAGGCTTTGCACGGTCACATAGGCGTTACTTTATGAGGGTTGCATTTTCTAGGTACATACATTCTTTTAAAAGGACAAACTTGTGATGAACCTCTTTCCCTCCCATGCTCTCTCCTTCGTGACTCAATGTAGTGGCACTGGGCTGTTCGGAGCTCAACATTGGTTTAGCTCTTATAAGTCAATGTGTGGAAACGAACCAAGTTTAATTTTTTGCTTTTGGTTTACAGGTTATTTCACTTTCATTTTCCTCCTTTTTTGATGCTGTTGTTCTTCTCCTCCTACTTCTTCTTGTTCCTCCTCCTACTACTATACTACAAAATGTACATAAACTTTATATGGACTATCATTTAGCTCAGTTATTTCCTTCATCTTTAAAAAAAAAATCCTCTTAGGCCCTGAGTCTCCTGGACAAGTGTATCTTCAGTCTGTGCGACACAAACGCCCCGACGTGTGATGAGGTGAAAACACAGGTAGCGTTATCGAAGTGTGGCCGCTACGCCCCAGTCAAAGATTCTATTTTGCAGCACAGTTGTTACTTTGATTGAAGCAAATGACAGACCAGTCTTCAGATTTCAGCTTCTGAAATAGTACGTGCATTCATGTATTGTGTAAAAAAAAATAAAAACTGAGCCTCTGTAATTTCCTGTTGTTGTGTAGGTCTCATTGCACTGTCCCCGTGGTTTTATGCACTCCGCATAATTTAGCAAAATTTGATCATTTTTTGGCATTTCTTATTTTCATTTATCATTCTTTGCTAAATTTAACAGAATTGCATAATTTCACATTTTTAGGATCAGTTGAATAATTTCAGATTTTTTCTTGCATGAAACGACGGGGACAGATTGCAAGCTGCGGTGTCGCCCATTTGAAAATAAAAAGTATGGGGTTCTCAGTTATCTCTGCATTGGCAACATTATTGAACATAACTACATACAGCCATTGATGGTTTTAGGCTATAATATAAATCAAGGTAAAGGTGTTAGAATCTGAAATTATCGTACCAGGACAATGCTTCTTGTTGAAAGAACCCCAAAAGAGCGCGTCTTCAAGCTTTGAGCGTCCTCAGTGAGTTAAATTTCCAGTAGACCCAGACTTTCCAAACATGTCTCTACACAACACTTTTTTTTTGTCTTGAAGTTGAACTTAAAATTTCATTTAAAAAAGACTAGCAACAACGCGCATAATACGAAGTATAGTCACATAAATTTATCATTCTTATTTGTCTATGATGGTTCAAAATGTACCGCAATATTCGCTGTTAGTCTGCTGCTGATAGGATATGTGTCCCCTACGTCCTTAAAGATTTAAAACATTTTTTATTTTTCCTTGTTACAAGCAGCGGTGGACCAAACCATTAAACCCAAAGCGCATATCTTCAGATTCCAGATTCTGAAATATTACATGTATTCATGTATTGTGTAAAAAAATAAAAACTGAACCTCTGTAATTTCCTGTTGTGTAGGTCTCATTGCAAGCTGCGATGTAACCCATTTGAAAATAAAACGTATGGGCTTATCAATTATCTCTGCATTGGCAACATTATAGGAACATAACTACATGTACATACAGCCATTGATGGTTTTAGGCTATAATATGAATCAAGGTTAGAATCTGAAATTATCGTACCAGGACAGGGAACTCTTAAAAATTACTATAAAGGAAGCAAAGGGGCCTCATGATTATGTTTTATACCCATTTGACACAAATTACATCATTTGGGAAGCGGGCTGCTTCTAACATGCCTGTCAGGGCCAACATGGGCAAGATCTAAGTGGTGGGATACATCATCCCAGCAGAAAGATGCAGATTCTTGATTTAAATGTTTTCAACTTCTACATTAGGCAATCGAACATATGTCTTCTGAGTGCCACAGAAAAGTGCAGTGTTATGCCACAGACGCTGGAACTGTGACTTCCTCAAGTGTTGTGTAGAGAATGTTTGGGAAGTCCGGGTGTACTGAAAATTCAACTCACTGAGGACGCACAAAGCTTGAAGACTCGCTGTTTTGGGGTACTTTCAACAAGAAGCATAGTCCTTATTTATACATATTTTTCAGTTCTGATTTTTTTTTTCGTCTTGAAGTTTAACTTAAAATATCATAAAAAGACTGGCAACAACACGCATAATATGAAATATAGTCACATTTATCATTCTTATTTGTCTATGATGATTCAAAATGTACCGCAACATTGCTGTTGGTCTGCTGCTGATAGGATATGTGTCGCCTACGTCCATAAAGATCTAAAACATCTTTATTTTTCCTAGTTACAAGCAGCAGGGGGGACCAAATCTTTCAACCCAAAGCCAAAGTGCATATCTCAGAGCACACTGCCTTTTACTCTTCCGCACACAAAAAGTGCACGTTTCCGTGTGATGAGATATCGTATGGTATATAAAACTACAATGCCTAATGTAATGATCAAATAAAGAAGGACCTCCAAAAATATTACGTCAATCTCTGATGAGACAAAACCAGGTGGGTGGAAGAGAAAGCCTAGGTGAAAACTGACCATACAACGTAAGTGTATAAGAACACCCTGTTACTGCTACTATTCGGGGTAGTCTGCACCGTACTGACTCCAGCTTGTGATGCTAACCGAGTTACCAGTTATCAGCGCTCGCGTGAAGGGTTCTGAATCAAAGAGCTTAACTCTAGGTGTATGGGTCCTGGGTGTCCATTTCACCACATGCAAACACACACACACACACACAGCGAGAGGGAGGGAGGGAGAGAGAGAGAGAGAGAAAGAGGAAGAGGGAAAGAGAAAGGAAGAAAGAGACAGTTTGACGAAGGAGAAGGAGAGGTGATATCAATCTAAGAAGCTCCTCCGGGCCCCAGCGAGCCTTCCCGCCTAAGTAGATTCTGGAACGACGGAAAATATCGATCGTCTCCCCCTATGCCGGGATGCACACGTTACAATGTTACATTGGGAGCCGGGGGGATTGGGGGGAAGACAGAGAGGGGAGGGGGGAGATGAGGAGACTGGGAGAAGAGAGATGAGCAGGAGGAGGAGGAGGAGGAGGAGTAGGAGGAGAGAAG